CAACTGATTCGATGTTTGATGACTCAAACAGTTCAGATACTGAAGCTGCATCCTGCGACTTCAGAGACAATTATTAAATCAACACTCATTAAAGTCTATGAGTCAAAACTGTCAGTGGCAACTTTGAGTTTTTAAGACAATTTCACCATTGGACAGAATCTTGACACAGACTCTGTCCAGCAAGTTTGGAGGAACAATTTGTTCATTTTAAAATCCAGGCAGGTTCGTTATTGTCAAGATGATTGAGTTTCACATTTTTGGTAAATGTCTAATTACAGAAAAGGTTGTGCATTTGGAGTAAACAATTAATGAGAGGCAGGTTTATATTCTTTAATATGAGCAAAGATGCGTTTGTTTGTTCCTGATTGAACCAGAAACTCGTTTGTGACCCATTTTGATTCCTCAGCCACACTTCTGAAATCTGCCACTGTATGAAAAATGTATTAACAGATGCCAAAAAATGGGGCAAAGCTCTCACTAACCTGAATGAAGTCATTAGTGAATATCTGAATAATTGTACTGAAATACTGAATGATAACCATAACAAGCGTATGTTGTATTAAATAAGAATTGTATATTTACAAAGCCTCAAAGAAATCTGGTGTATTCTGAGTCAATGAGCCCTTGTCCACTGCATGGCACCAGCTCTTTTGGTTTTCCATTGGGTTCCAATCAAGCTGAGGCGACACCAAAAGGTGACATGAAAACACTGCGGATGACTGATTGGTCAGAGAGAATCATCGCTACTGCCTCATTGTTAAACTGCGCCATTTTTAACCTGCACACCGCTCACGGACGCCGGCTTTACGAAGGCGACTGGACTTGCTTTTGAGGTTCCTTGAAGATGTCAAACCTCTCGTCTGAACCGGTCAGTTACATCCTCAAGAAACCTCAGATACCGTCACCCGGATGTATCTTCACAGACACTGCAGCCTGTTACATCTCTGTTAGTTATCGTACAATACTTTCATCACGGCAACCCGCAAAAAAAACCACACCATGGTCAACTGAGGAGGTGCTTGACATTGCTCTGTTTTGGTATCCCTTCGTTATCTTCCATTTTTCGTGTGGTTGCGTCGCATTGAAGATGACGTCGCGATAGCTTCGTGCATTGTTGCTATAATAATGACGCCTCATCGAGGGGGTAGAGTAGAGTAGTAGTGAGCAGAGTTGAGTCGATTTGAGTCAGTACCATGTGGTTGTAAAACAAAATTTCCTTTTAATCAACATTTTAATCCATATTAATGTCTCTAATCTAGTTTAATCGTCAAGATAAAGCCTCCACTTGAGAACTAGAGAGACCCAAAGATAACACACAAATTTATATGGAAATTGATGGGACACATTCTCGGTCCCTAGAGGATGAACCCGTTTGTGATTGGAGGGCTTTTTGGACTACAGAAACCCTGTTTGTTTCATCAGACACACACTGTTCATGTTGTGGGTTTAATCGACTTTTATTGTTGAATATTTTCGTTTTTTGATATTCTCTAAACAGCCTGAAGAGTTTTTCCTTCTCACCTACACAGTTTGCACGTCTGCCTCCTCTCTCTGTTTTCATGACAGTATTCAGTTCTTCATTCCTATGCATTCTTAAAGTCTCACAGCCTTGGCCTCAAATAAAAAATTTACCCTGTCGCCTCGGGACTCTGGCTCATTAAAACATATTTCTATCCTTGTCATGTAGGGGCCTCGCAGCGATGAGCCTGCACCTCATTTTAGGTCCCGCTCTGCAGAGTCTAAGCAACTAGATGGTAATAGAATTCATGAAAAGAGCCTTTTCCTGTTTCAGCCGGACTGCGTGGTCAGAGAGGAGGTCCACGCAAGAGTCAGAGCTGAATTTATTTAGCAAAGTGAAATTAAATTTGGTTCTGGACAGATGCCATAAATTTATACATTTTGTACGATTCAGTTGAGTCTGGTATCGGTCTGCTTCACAGTCACGTCAATTCAGGGAATTTACCTGCGCACCTGTTCATGAAAAAGCCCTGACATTACTGACATTAGATGTACGGTATGAGCTTCTTGAAACCGTCACAAAGGATGAATCCTGTTCGACAAGTCAGGAGTCGGGAGAAGCTTTGGAGGCAGCTCGTTTTAGTGAACTGAGATTCTGCCACATGAGAATCAGCAGCTGAAAGTTCAGAAATAAACTGAAGAGTCTGATTTATCATGATAATATTGATAAACTGCAGTCGGGAAGCGTTGATGATTCTACATAAGTACATATTGAGGTGAAGCCATTGCCTAGGGACACTTTAACACGTGGACTGGATGAGTCAGGAATCAAATCGCCAACCTTCTGAGTAGTGGACGATCAGCTCCACCTCCTGAGCCACGGCCTCGATTATGTACATATATATGAATATAATACAGAGAGGAAGATATCCAGATATAAGCCGGTGTTTTTCCATTCATAAAAGGCGCTGAGTGTCGCTCCTGCTTGTTATCTGATGGGATATAAATGGTGTCTATATTCCACATTTTCAGTACAAATACAGTACAATACATTACAAAACCTGTTATCCATGCCAGGTGGTTAAAAGACCGAATAACAACAAACCAACCTGAGACGCTTGTAAAAGCAACAACATTATAAATATCTGTGGACCAGGTAGCGTTCACCTCACATTTTCTGACATCTTATTCTTATTTCCAGAACAAATTCTTCTCGCATCTTCAGCCGGTGAAAGACTTTGTCATTACGTTTCTGTAAGTTTTCATATCTGCGAACGTGCAGTATATGAGGCCGAGGGCTGCAGCGTGCTCGTTGTGAAACGCACCTTAACACGGAGAGTTTCACCGGAGATCGCAGAAAACAAAAACAAAAACAGGACTTACACACATACAGTATAAATCCTGTTTGTTTGAGCTTCTGAGGACGAGATGATGAAGTCCACTGAACCCTGAAGATAAAACATTCAATACTAGAGACCTCCTCTTTATTCCTCGTCCATCTATTCAGGAATAAAAAAAATAAAAACAGTTTCAACAGTTAAAGACAAACATTTCTGTCCATCTGCACGTTGATAGTTGATATAAAATACATATCTGTAACTCAATATATACATGTGCATGAATAAATGCAAATATAACTGCACATTCCTCTACAGTCTGCACATTATGTATCATGCACACGACCAGTCTACAGGCTGTATGCATGATGCCACAAACACAGAGGCGGTGAAGACCTTTTGAATTCAAGCCTCTCTCCAGCCTCAGAGTAATTCTTCATCGCGTGTATGTGGAACGGAGGTCAGATATATTTACTGGGCTGCTTCAGGAATTCCATCGGAATCTCATGTTCCGTGACACGAATGCTGCCACGCAAGGCGAAAAGGTCGTCCGTAATTGAAACTGTGACATTGAAAAGGCAGGACAGAGGTGGAATTAATTAATGGTCCGTCCTGAAATTCAAAGATGAACTCATACTGCCCCCTAGTGTCACCGGAGGAGTGATGCTCTGTTTATTTTCATGATTTGTTCGTTCTTCCTGTGTGATAGAAACCTTTTAAATATATATATATATATATATATATATATATATATATATATATCTGCCTTCTCTCATCAGCTCTCTGCTCTACTGCTGATAGTTTTCCCATCAACCTTTACCCTCATTACTTACTTACTATTGACGACCCAGGTCACTGGAAGTTAAAGTCTTGTTGAATTTAGTATAAGTCGCCTTGGGGAAGAGAGGAAGCTTCTTCTTTTTCTTTTTAACATTTCTATGTGAAATGTAAATAGAAGACCGGAGAAGGCCGTGGAAACCGGTTGACCTATATTAAGAGGTTTTACGACCTGCAGAGGTTTAGTGTGAAGTCACCACCTCAGTATCTCTGCAGACTCTGAATGGAGGGTATGGATTTCACTGCCTGTCTTACTGGGCTTTTCCTCTAACTCCCAGCGAGCCAGCTGCTGACCGGTTGAGGGAGTGACTTCTTCACATCAGAGCGCAAATACTGAAGGTGCCTCCAACAAAGGTTATGGTTTTTAACCAACTATCTTTATGCAAAATTTATGATAAAATGACTCTACATTAGGACGTGTGTTTGCTGTTTCCCACCGCATCAGGACACTGCGTAGAGTCGGAGCGTGTGATGGTTAACAGCAACAGGAGGGAGAAGATTTCTGCTCTTCATGCACACATTCAAAAGGTGGAATCACATCTACTGTAGTGACGTATCTCTGCTACAGAGAGTGCTACAGGTACAAGAGCTGAATTAGGACACATTTATAGACTTTCTTTTAGACTGAGCATTTTTGTTACAGTACATGTTTTGGAGTTTTTAGTTTTTCATGTTCAATTACGAATTTTGTGCCTTTTTATATACAGTTTTTTTTTTTTAAATTTCAACTTCCCTTAAAATCCACACAACCTGCACTGTGTTGCAGGATAAAAACAGATTCAGGGTTTCATACGTTACAAACCTAAGGAACCAATCCTGTCAACTTAGCACAAATGCTAAAACTGTGTCAGCCACAACATAAACAAATAGAAGATGCTAACTACGCTAACCATCTGCTAGTCTCTGGTTCTGGTCTCAGACTCCTCCTCTGAGTCTGGGTCTGACTGAGGCTCAAACATGTGGCTGAGTCTCTCTGATGTTTCCTCCTCTCACCATCTTGATACTCTGCTCTTTCACCTGTCCACCTGGAGCCAGCAGGTGGTGGGCGGGGCTTAAGGTCTGATCCAGGTTTCTCAATGAGGAAGTAACAGTAGATGAGCTTCACACCCAGTTTTTAAGTGTATGTGTTAAACTAATGTTGATGTAAAACTAAATATTAATCATAGCAGAGTTTAAAACATCTGGAGAGGAAGCAGAATTACAGAATCTACATTAAAAAACAAACTCAACCCAACTCTCAGGATCACATGGTGTTATTACACAAACCAGACTTTTTGCGTTACTGTTTAAACACAGACGACATGTGCTTTCAGCGGTCACTGTTCCTTCGCAAACAGATCCATGCGAACTCTCCACAGGTCAGTTTGCTCAGGGCAAGAAAAACAGGACGACTGTGTTGTCGTCCAAAATCCGAACAGACAGAAACTTCTGTCCCCCGCACAGACAAATAACAAACATCAGAAATGTTTTGGTCCGTGTCGACTACAGAGGCCAGGTAACAGGACACAGCTGCGATATTGAAAATCTCAGATGTACAAAGGGCAGTGATGGCCTGAAGGTAAGTAAAGCAGCCAAGAATATTAGTGAAGGTTTAGAGATCTATAATCAATCAGTCATAACCTGCAGCTGTCCAGAATCCTGTGGTTGAACTGAGCGACTCCCACGTCTGAGCACGAACAAAAATAAAAAAACCTTGAACAAAACCTCCCTGGTTTGCTTCAGGGAGTTTCCTAACCACCAAATGTGGAGTCAAACCTCTGCAGATTTTTTTCTCTGCATGTTTTCACATTATTCCTGTAAAAACTGTAGTACTGTAAATCTAATTACTAATCTGATTCCTGCTGCTTGAGCTGGGGGTGAGCAGTCCTCCGAGGCTCAGAGAAAACAACAGACAGAAAACCTCCCTCCAAACCTCTGCAGGCAGGAGACTCCATGAGATGGTTGTCATCTGTATTTATTCACTGGATGATTTATGTCTTTTTTAGCCACTGATGAATCACTTTAACATTTTCACTCACAAGAAAAACAAAGAAATCTTCTTTTCCTTGCTCCAACATTCATGTGTTCATGCTCAGTGGCATTTTCTTTCACACTTTTGCAAATATTCCTCATAAGAAGTTTCTGGCCCGTAAACAACACGTGGTTTTGATGAACCAGAAAAATGTTTTGCTCTTTGATATTTCACCCTCTTTAATGTGAGTGTTTGTCATGAATTGTAATGATTCCTGAACAACATTTAGAGCCTTGACTAACGCACTGTGTTCCCTGAATGCTTCCTAGTTTAGTTTGTCTTTGAGTGAGATGATTTTAGTTGTTCTTTTATTTTACTCTATTATAAACTTACCTGCACGTGTCTTTTTTGTCCTGTTATTGTGTTTATTTGAGTTTTTTCTTCTCTTCTTAAATGTTCGTTGCTGTAAACAGAGGTTTGTCAGGTTTGTTTCCTCCTGTCTGTGCAGAGATGTTGTGATGAAGATATTTATCACAAAGATCTCAAAAGGACAAAAGATAATTAACATTCATTCGTTCATACCAACACTGTGACTTATTTAGGTTGTTGTGCTTGTGCACATGACATGTAGCCCACTGTTTGTCAACTCAACCTCACATGCACAATCCATGTCAACCACACCTGTCCCAGCCGACCAATCAGAAGCCCGACTCAGGACACACCACACACACACACACACACACACATACACACAGATGTCAGACTCACACACAGGTTCAAGGATACACACACACACACACACTACTGATATGTTATGTACGGTCCCATATGTGCCGTTAACGTGTGTCTTATATGGATTTATATGGAAGGTTTCCTCCACTTTGTTATAAATTATTATGTCTCATAATTATGTATTATAATTTTTATACACATTATCCTGAGATCAGATATTCTAAAACATGTTTTTAGGTTTCTGTATGTTTCTTAACCTGAGGAGGAAACATCATCAGACACAATTAAAGAAAAATAATAGATTCTTTATTGAGAAAAAAATCCCTGAAAACTCATCTAAAGGTGTTTGAAACCTGTTGTCGGAAACTTCACCAAGTAACAGAAAACAGATTCAAAGCAGTTTTCATTGATAATTATTGGATTCAATTAGATTCACTTTAATCTGTACAGAGAAATAAACAAAACCTGTTTCTGCCCCTTCGATCGGATCGGTACCAGAATTGAACGGGTTCGTCTCTGGACCGGGATTCTTCCCGCCACCAAGATTGGTGTAAACAGGTTCAGGAGTTTCAGCGTAATCCTGCTGACAAACAAACACACATGGGCTTCGGTCGTTCAGGGAGACGCACTTTAATGACCGAAACGTGATACAGACACATATGAGATGCATCATCAGCAAACACACACACACACACACACACACTCACACCCAAACGTGACACTCTGTCTATGTATAGACGACTGACCCCTTCCCCATTCAAGCGAGAGGCAACGTGGTCGCAGACGTTTTTTAATCATCTGGAAATGATTTTCTTCTTGGGGATTTTGTCTAATTGGTAAATGATTAATAAACTTATATTATGTAAAGACTCAAAGTTTTGGGGAGAGTCTTCACCAGTGTCAGATGAGAGGATGTCTGTGCTTCCAGTACAGAGGCATGTTTAGCCTAGCTTAGCACAAAGACTGGCCGACCTAACCTCCCTCAAAAGTGAACAAACACACCCGCACCAGCTTCCATGTTTTATCTCGTTTACTCGTGTAGTAATAGAAATGTAAAAAGAAAACATTACAGTCAGAGTAAACACATCCTGGACGTGCGCTGTGTTTATTCTGGTCGCTCAGAGATGAAACTGATCCGACTCTGGCAAAGACCACGACGGAGAGGAGTTCCCAAGATGTTGGACTGAGTCCGACTGAGCTCTGGAACAAACCAGCGGCCGTGTAAAATTCATGTGTATGATGAGGAGAGCTCATTAAATGTGTAGTTTAAGATTTCAGCAAGTACATTTTCATTCATACTGTTACAGATACTCACCTCCTCATCCAGAAACAGCCCTTTAATTTAATACGTTCATATATTGATGCATGTTTTTATTGTACTAGCAGATCATGAAAGTTCTTGCTAACGTCCGATTAGTGGAAAATTCGAGATTAAAGAAAATGTAAACGAGATGTAGAAGTCATTAAATGCATGTGCTGTATGATGAACTGAAGTCCTGACTGTATAATAATACAAAGAGCTCAGCAGATTGGCTGCTACATTCAATATAAGATCAATTAAAATCCATTTAAAGTAATTAACCCAAATGAACTTATATATTGATGAAAACCATTTTTAAGATCGCACGAGTTGAAATGATTTATTTCTAGAAACGTGCTACAGAGACGAATCAAAACACAGGACGGATATAAATAAAAACCTGCATATAGGTGGATATAAATGAAGGTAATTGAAAGTGTTTCTTAACATTATTTGTATATTAATTTGAAACAAAAAGTAAAATGCAATAAAAAAGGTGGAGTCAAGACATAAGTCAACAGTTACTGTAAAGCTGTTTCCTCGGTGAGTGGGAGGATTCTCACAGTCACTGATGACAGCTGGCTGTGTGATATTAAAAGTTATGAATATAATTCTTATAGGTGATATTGGTTTCACTCATAAACACTGAAGCGAAACAAGCAAATAGAGACTTTTGTTTGTCTTCCAGGTAAAATCATTTAAAAAAAAAAGGTAATGTTGAACCAGCTGGTTGTTTTCCTCTCGTCTCTCCTCGTGGGTCGGGTTCGGCCTTTTCTGCGTTTCTCTGGTAATTTTCCACAGAGTGAAGAAGATGCTGCGTCTCTGTTATCAGCGTCTTATCTCGGGGTGGAGCCACGTTTCCTCCACAACAACTCTGACACATTAACGTCTATGGTTTTATGGAGCCAGTGTTTACATCCACTTCTCTCCTTTTATTTCCGCCTGAGTTGTTTAATGGTTGTTAAAATCATCTAATCTTTCCAAGTACGGTCCGTCCGATAATAAATTCAGAAATCTCTGCCTGTCTTTTTGTCTCTCTGTCCGTCCTCTGATTTTCTTGTTTAACCGCTGCTCGACTTCAACCTTTTGAATTTAAGTTCAAATGAGTCAAGTCAGTTTATAGAGCACAAACGTGATTCACAGAGATTAAACTTTGACATATTTGGGATCTTTGGAAACTTTGGGATCTTCACTAGAACTGAAAGTAAAGTTTTGTGTGTTAAAAGACAATTTAGATTCAATAAGATAAAACAGATAATTTTCTGTTTAAAGAGCCTACACTACATTTCAAAGGAAGATATATCAATATATTTAATGTCATATTATTAAATATAAAAAAGTGATGCAATTGCAACTCAATTTCGAGAACATACACAACTTGGTATATATATATAACATCAATATGTACTCAGTTCAACAAACCTGCTCAATCATCGATCCATTTAAGTCAGGAAATAAAAAGGTTTAATGAGGAACTGATACTCTGAACTGGCCTTTCAAAACAGTGAAAAGTGATATATATATATGTGTGTGTATATATATATAAACATAAAACATATACATATAAAAGTGGCAGTTTGTTTCCAATGTATTCATTATGTTGAACATTTTGTGGCTCTCTTCATAAAGTGTGTAATATTTACATTATTGCCATTTGTCTTAGTGTTTGAGTCTGTCAGAGGGAATCAGATATCAAAGATCAATAAGCAGCTGTCTGGTGTCTTCAGTCCCATCACAGCGAACATGTCCTGTATTTGAACCAGGTTTTTGTTGTTTGCTCTCCTGGTGTTTGAGTGTGTTTCCTCCAGGTGCTCTGGTTTAAACATTATACGTTAAGTTTTATCAGGAACCTCTGCTGCTGTCCTTCACCGGGTCCCAGCCACTGAGCTCAGATTGTCTTTAACAGTTAGAGGGCAAATGTCCCCACAGGGATTAATAATAAAACCTAAGTGGAAAACCATTTCCTGTTTCTTGTCCTCTAGCTGCCAGTTTATTAGGTACACCAAGCCTAAACTAATGCAGCTTAATACAACATTAATGCAGTTTTTTACTGACACTGTTTTAAAGAAGCGTTGATTCAAATGTGAAATCACTTTGGAGGATGTAGTTAAACAAAGAGGTGTTTNCGCAGCTTAACACAACACTAATGGAGGTGATAATGTTCAGTTTTTTACTGACACTGTTTTAAAGAAGCGTTGATTCAAATGTGAAATCACTTTGGAGGATGTAGTTAAACAAAGAGGTGTTTCTGTTGTTTAGCCTTCGCTCACTGATAAAAGCTGGGTGGACTAAATAATAGAGACAGTCGTCAGTATTTAACTACAATAGTTGCAACAAAAATTGAACGTTAGAGTAGTTTTATCTCAGTGTACCTAATAAACTGGCACCTGATTGTGTATCTTCTCAAATGTTTTAAATCACATTTTACCTTCATGACACTTTAGTATTTTGCTTTTTACAAAACAATCTGTTTTTAAATGGTTTGGTTTCAGTCTTTTACACCTTTATGTTTATGTTGTTAAATTTAACTTAATATTAGCTTAAAATCTAAATCAGTTTTGTTCATGGAAGCTGTTGTTAATATGATCATATATTGATCAGATATTCCTTTATTAGTCCCACAGTGGGGGAATGTGTTACAGCAGCGAGTGGACGATACAGGAAAGAAAACTGCAAAATGACAATATCAAATATTAATATTAATAATATAATATATAGAAAATTAACCCTTTGTACAGACTTGCACAGACAGCTGGCGGAATAACGTTACAGTGAGGAGGTTTGTATTTCTGCTCAGCTCTCCTCCTCATGGCTCATTTCCATGGTGGCGTCTCCATAGGCTGCAGTGCTTTGAGGAGCTGACACCTGATTGGCCAGCAGGGCTGTCCCGTACATTGAAACTCTTGCTCTGATTGGCTGTTTGTTCTAACATGCAGTGTGGTTTTCTTATCACAGCAGTCACTCTTTAAAATCGCTTTTCTCTGTTTCTCAGGAACATTTCTGCCCGTTGCTTTGTCCGGAGGAGACGAGGCGTCATCAGTTTCTTCCTCATCACCGACACGGAGGGAAACGGAGCGTTTTCATTGGCGGGCTGATGAGAGGCGGTGGGCTGAAGTTTGGACGCACAGAGCAGCTCTGAGAGGAAGATGCAGAACTCCAACAGTTTTCAGGTGGATGATTTTATCGCGGGATGGATCGGCGGTGAGTGAAAAGTCATTTCCGAGGCTGTTGTTCAGAGAGAGAGGCTCAGGGGGGGATTGTGGTGGTGCTGGTGGGGGTTGTGGGGTCAGATGGGTCACTCCATGGCTTCCCATGGAGTGCATGTTTGTGTGGATTAAAATCAGCTGTGCAGGGAGGTAAACACAGCTTCAGGATCAGGCGCAGGCTGCTGTTCTCGCGCAGTGAAATCCGTTTTGCAGGAAAACCTGTGCAGCCGCACATGCATCCACATGCAGTGTAAACAATGGAGGGTCTGCAGAGAAACCCCCTCCCTCCTTCCCTCCCCCACCCACCCACTCTGATAAACACCCTCACCTCCAGTGTGAAGGAAAGTAGTTTACAGCCAGTCAAGCGCCTTATCTCCCGCAGACACGCACACAGAGTCCGTGCCTGCAGGATTGATCATGTGGAGATTTTTTTTATTCTAATGAGAAAACACTTTTTAAGTGGAATACACGCAGTGACGGGACTGGCCGCTGGGGGCGCTGCTGCTGCGTCAGTTTCAGTTGCATAAACAAAAGTTGGAGTCCAGCAGCCTCACACTGAGATCAGGCTGTTCTGTCTGTTCACGGTTAATTAATGAAACCTGAACATGAAAAGAAGAATCAAGTCTTTAACATTAAATTCTAACTGATGGATGCAAGTCAATGGAAGAGAAGTCAAATTTACCCATGCACAAACGTAATATATGTATATACAGTATATTCAATTTCCATACATGAAATATATGTTCATATGAAATAAAAACATATATGTAAAAATTCTATATAAAATCCATTAGAATTTGAAACAATTTCATATATTGACATATATGTATATCCCATACAAATATATATGTTTATAAATGAACACATGTGTTACATAGATATATATGTATGTATGTGTATATAATATATATATATAACAGTAGGGTCCAAATATCTGAGACCAACCTTCCCAGAATGAGAAGATAGACATGTTTCAAATGAATAAGAAAGATATTTATAAACGTATAGAAACTTTATGTGTATGTTGTTTTAATAAACTTGCATATATACACATATAGACATATCTGTCATATATTACATTTCTGTTTGGGTGAGACCCCTGTGAACCGAAACTAAAAGAATTCTGTTAAAATTAAAAAATGAAAACTGAGCAGAAATAAAGATAAATGCAAAATTCAGTTTAAATTTCGCCCTGATGTAGGTTGTTGTGGAGGCAAACAACGGGTGGAACCAAGGAAACGGGTGATTCATGTGAATTCTCTCATTGTCTTTCAATTAATGAGTAAACGCATCTTTCATTCAGCTGTTGACGCCCAACGACCCTGTAACAAAACCAGGTCCAAACCTAGACCACAAACCTGGATCCATTATTTTTTTCTTCTTCTTCTTTTTTTTATGTAACATGTTTATTTTCTTGTTTTACTGCCAATTTAAATAAATTAAGTTTTTTGCATTTGAAAATACTGTCTGTGCTGTGAGGAGGGAAAACTACAGCAGCAGCTGCAGGACGACACTTCTTCTTCTTTCAGTTCGTGCCTCATTTTCATCTTTTACATCATTAAATCAACCAGACAAAGCAAGTTGGTAAAGTTGGCGTCCACCCCGACCGCCCTGAGTGCCTCGTCCTAAACACAACAAACCTGTGGCCAGTTAGTCCTGGCTGTTATCTGCGCTTGGAGGCAGGATACTGCGTGCATTGTTTTGCTATGTGTTGTGTGTGTGCTTGATGCGTATGTGCTCACACACAGTGCCCAGAGAGTGGCAGGAACAGGGGGTCAGTAAGGGCACAATAGCTCATGTTTGCCCCAGGGCCCCATGGTGGCAGTCCAGTTTGTCCAGTCTCTGGCTGCATCACCCGCTGTTTCCTCTCAGCAGGGACACGACAGCACACGCTGGGTGTTTATGCAATTGTTTGTACTTTGTTTGCACTTTAGGGGCATGGAGTGCATCACAAACCAAAAGCCCATTACAGAAAAATTCAAATAAAGTGTGTTGCTTTTATCCGTAGATGTAATTAAGTCTCAGAAATGCACCAAATAACAAAGAAAATCCAGTTATTTCAAAGCTTGTATTGAGCTCGTCTTTGCAGCACAAGTCTTTTTCCCTTCACAGACAGTTTCATGTTACATTATCTCTCTTTTTTTCCCTTCCTCTGGTATTTTGTGTTTTCATTTTATTTTCTTCTGTCTGTTTTTCTTTTTCTTTTGGCTGCAGGAGCTTCCAGTGTGGTCGTGGGCCATCCGCTTGACACAGTGAAGGTATTTTAGAGCTGCAGCACGACTCTGCCACACTGCTTTCTCACCAAGTGCTTGATCGTGATGGGAGCTGCTGCATTTCTCTCTGTAGGATTGGATGAATTGAATTGAATACTCCCAAACCTTTGAGCGGTGTTGTCCTGCTTTTATACAGTGGCTTCAGAAAGTATTCAGACCCTGTCACCCTTTGCACAGATTTTAAATGGATAAGATGCGACACTGAGCCATAACGATAATGTGAAGACCTGTTGAAGACATTCAGTACGTTGTAGAAGCCACTGTGGCAGCAGTTACAGCTTCCAGTCTTCACAGGGAAGTCTCTACAAGCTTTGCACACCTGGATTTGAGCAATCAGAGCTGGAGAGGATGGATGGCAAGTGTCTGTGAACTTCTATCTTCAGGTCACTCCACAGAGGCATTATGGGGTTTAAGTCAGGGCTTCGGCCGGGTCACTCACGGACAGTCAGAGACTTGATTGTTTGTCTCAGGTCATTGTCCTGCTGAAAGCTGAACTGTCACCACAGTCTCGGGTTACATGAACTCTTGTTTTTTCTGTATTTGGCCGCATTCATCCCTCCCTCAGTTCTGACCAGTCTTCCTCTCCCTGCCGCTGAGAAGCCCGCCCCATAGCATGATGTTGCCACCATCTTGCTTCTCGCAGCGCCTGGTGTTTGGAGTTCAGCCCAAACGGTTCAGTTTGCGTCTCATCGGACCAGATAATCTTTTTCTCCTTTAAATGCTGTTAGTCGAACTCCAGCAGGTTGCCGTGTGTCGTTCTCTCAAAGTGGCTTCTGTCTCGTCTTTTTATTATAAAGCTGAGGCATGAGCTCTGTTAGTGTGACCATTAGGTTCTTGGTCACCTCTCTGACCAAGGCCCTTCTTGTTCAGTTCAACTCCAGGAAGAGTCCTGGCTCCAAACTTCTCCCATTTCACAACCACTGTTCTCCAGGGAACACTCAAAGCTTCAGAAATGGTTTTATGAATTTGCTCCAATCCATGCCTCACCATCAGTTTTATCACGTGCCTTTTGTTAAATATTTCCTATCAGTTCAGTATCCCATAGGTGGACTCCTGGAAAGCATGTATGTCAAGGGTAATTAAGAGTATGAGTACCCCCGCAAAGGGTCTGAACTCTTTAGTAAATGAGAGATTTCAGTTTGTGATTTTTGATAAATTTGAAAGTTGTTTTCACTTTGTCGTTATGGATTATTGAGGTTAAATCCATTTAAAATCAAATCAACACAATAAAGGGTGCAGGAAGTGAAGGACTCTTTCTGAAGCCACTGTTGTTGTTACATAAGAGAATAAAAACCTGCAGTTCATTAAGACTTGCTCTCTTTTGGTATTTTGTGGCACATTGTGTTTTGTTTATTGTAATGTGAAAACAATTCAGACTCATTTTCCACATTAACACATTTTTGTCATTATGGGAAGAAGTTGTCTGTTTATACTGACAAACTTCAAACCAAGCTACAAAGTTCTAGATGAAAATTGAACATGATAAAATGAAAAGTGTTTTTATGATACAGAACAAAGAAGAATCTCTTCTGGTAATAGAGAGAGCACAACAGTAGTAATGAGCATAAGTTTAATCATAAGATGTAGTGTAGTGCTGTATTAAAAGTTTTCTCCGAACCATTTGGAGTCTGGATCTATAAAGAGCTGAAGTCCTTTTCCAGTTTCAGGTTATGACCTGATCCACTAACGCTCAGATCATTTGCTGTAGAATGAAAACAGAATAATTTTACCTTAGTAGGTAAAGTTTTGAAGTTTTACAGTTTAGTGCAAGAGTAGATATTTTTCTCAGAGATTTGGATGGAAAAACACCAGAAACAAGTTTCAGATGAAATCAATAAGGAAACACTTTGAGTCTTTCCAGCAGACACTGGACGAACCTTAACCCTAAGTTTTGGTTGAGTTGAAATTCCCCCTGTTCCCCCTAATTGACATTGTGATGTTTAGCAGATGTTTGTATTTTATGTGCTAATGTGTCATTTTGGCTACTTAACAACAAAACTTAAACTAAACAAAATATCAACAACAGCTGTCGTCAGTATTTTATGTCAGATCAACATTGGCGTTATGCATTGTCCTGAATTTTGGTCACCTGACATCATATCCTACATTAAGCCAAATGTCAAAGTGTTAATGACACGTGTGGCCAGCTGCAGGGTCAGCCTCCACATACTGGAACTATTTTGTCGTTATTTGTTTTGAAAGTGGATGTTTTCTCTCACCAAGACGCGGCTCCAGGCGGGGAAAGGCTACAAGAACACGCTACACTGCGTCCTCACCATCTACAGGAAGGAAACGGTAAACACACAAACTCCTTCAGTCCAAGTCTAATTTTACTTATTTTTTGACATTAGAACGGTATGGATGATTATCAGATGCTTTGATCTTTAATTAAAGTGTCAGGCGTGGCTTTTCTCAGGTCAACAATTCACACTTTAATTCTTTTTGAGATCTTTTTGTGAAAGAGTCTGACTTTAGTTTGTCCTGTCTGTTTGTTTGATTGTTCAGACAAGAAAGTCACAGAAAGATAGCACAATTCACATTTTTATAAATCTCAAGTCGATGTTATCCACAGGCCGAACCCTAAATTATTCAGTTTCCTATTGAATAAGCCAAAGAACAGATTTATTTGTTATGTTTCATACTCTAGTTTGATTTACAGTATCTTGTGTTGATTGTTGTGTGACCCAGTTTCTCACCTGGAATCTAAATAGTTTCAGCGCTTGGGAAGTTATTTGCAGAAGCTTAAAATTGAATAGTAATTCACCAGATTTGATCAGTTTTGCAATATTTTGCAACGTTGCAATACGTCTGATTCGTTTGTTTTATCGGGTGTGATGCAGGGTTGACAGTGTGGTATGCGTCCTTGTGGTTTGCACAGAAACTTTTGTAACTTTTGTTGGTTGTAACCGCTCCCAACATATGTCATATCAGCCCTGCACTCCCTGTCAAACCGCAGATCTGATGTTCTCAGTGGTCAGATGATTTGTTCAGGCAGTGGACAGCTGTGTTTTACTTTTTCAACATGTGTCTTCTAAACTCCCCTCCCCCCCGCTGTTAGCAGAGAATTCTTTCCACAGAAATATTTGGCAGCAACTTAACCCCATTTTTCATCCTGTGCATTGTTGGCAGACAAACCGCCCAAGTGTATTCCTGAGTTTAAAATTTGCACTGTGCACTTGTAACACTTGTAACACTTAACTGTCATCTTTGTTTTCTGTTTTTCAGGTCTCAGGGTTTTTTAAGGGCATGTCTTTCCCACTGGCCAGCATCACTGTCTACAACTCAGTGGTGTTTGGCTTCTTCAGTAACACACAGAGACTCATAAGCAAGTATCGCTACGGCGACGGGCATCATCCCTGTGGCATGTTGGACTTGACCGTGGCCAGCATGCTGACTGGACTGATGTCAGTGGGCCTGGGAGCCCCGGTGGATCTGGTCAAGATCAGACTGCAAATGCAGACGCAGACGGTTCTAGCAGGTAAATCAGGGTTGGTGGTTTTGGCTTAAGATGTTTGTGTTTTCCCCATGAACAGAAGAAACACCAGAATTAATTATAAAACTGAAAGCGCAGTAGTTGTTGTTGCTGTTGTTGTGTTTTCATTGGTCTTTGGAAGCTCAAATAATGGTTTGGCTTACTGATCATAACAATGTCATAGGAATAAAAAAGTCATAGTAAAGTAACTCATAAAAATTACACACAGAAATACCCCAACCCAGGGTTCGAACCCACAACCTTCCATGTACTAGGCAACAGTTCTAACCACTCTACTACTGTGCTGCTCGATCACAAAAAAAATCATATTGTATTGAAACATAAAAACGTTATAGTATGGTTAGCCATAAAAAGTCATAGTATAGTAAGGCATAAAAGCAGCCAAAAAAGGTCATAGTATAGTAAGACATGAAAACGTCAAAAAAAGTCATGAAAATGTCATATTATAGTAGGACATATAACATCAACAAACGTCATAGTATAGTAAGACATAAGATTTTCAAAAAACGTCATAGTATAGTAAGACATGAAAACAGCCAAAAAATTTCATAGTACAGTAAGACATAAAAATGTCATCTTATAGTAAGGCATTAAAACATCAAAAAAATGTGATAGTATAGTAAAGCATAAAAATTTCAACAAAACATCATAGTATGGTAAGCGATTAAAACATCATAGTATAGTAAGACATAAAGACGTCATAGTAGAGTAACACATGAAAACGTCAAAAAAAGTCATGTTATACTAAGACATGAAAATATCAAAAAACTCCATAGTATAGTAAGGCATAAAAACGTTTAAAAAAAGTCATAGTTTAGTAAAGCATAAAAACTTCAAAAACCATCATAGTATAGTACGACATAAAACGTCAAAAAACGTCATAGTAAAGTAAGACATGAAAACATCAAAAACGTCATAGTACAGTAAAGCTTAAACATTTCAAAAAACATAATAGTAAAGTAAAGCATAAAAATGTAAAAAAAACGTCATAGTACACTAAGAAATAAAAACGTCAAAAAAAAGTAATTGTATAGTAAGAATTTCAAAAAATGCCATAGTATAGTAAGACATGAAAACAGCCAAAAAACATCATAGTATAGTAAGCCATAAAAACGTAATAGTATAGTAAAGCATAAAATGTCAAAAAACTCATAGTACAGTAAGGCATTAAAATGTCAAAAATTGTGTATAGTAAGATATAAAACATCAAAAAATGTCATAGTACAGTAAGGCATGAAAACGTCATAGTATAGTATGGCATAAAAAGTCAAAAAACTCATAGTACAGTAAGGCATGAAAACGTCATAGTATAGTATGGCATAAAAAGTCAAAAAACTCATAGTACAGTAAGGCATGAAAACGTCATAGTATAGTATGGCATAAAAAGTCAAAAAACTCATAGTACAGTAAGGCATGAAAACGTCATAGTATAGTATGGCATAAAAAGTCAAAAAACTCATAGTACAGTAAGGCATGAAAACGTCATAGTATAGTATGGCATAAAAAGTCAAAAAACTCATAGTACAGTAAGGCATGAAAACGTCATAGTATAGTATGGCATAAAAAGTCAAAAAACTCATAGTACAGTAAGGCATGAAAACGTCATAGTATAGTATGGCATAAAAAGTCAAAAAACTCATAGTACAGTAAGGCATGAAAACGTCATAGTATAGTATGGCATAAAAAGTCAAAAAACTCATAGTACAGTAAGGCATGAAAACGTCATAGTATAGTAAGGCATAAAAACGTCAAAAAACGTCATAGTATAGCAAGGCATGAAAACGTCAAAAAACGTAATAGTATAGTAAAACATAAAAACGTCAAAAAACGTCATAGTATAGTAAGGCATTAAAACGTCATAGTATAGTAAGCCATAAAAACGTTATAGTAAAGTAAGGCAAGAAAACTTCAAAAAACGCCATAGTTTAAGACATAAGAATTTCAAAAAACGTCATAGTATAGTAAGGCATTAAAACGTCATAGTATAGTAAGCCATAAAAACGTTATAGGAAAGAAAGTCAAGAAAACTTCAAAAAACGCCATAGTTTAAGACATAAGAATTTCAAAAAACGTCATAGTATAGTAAGGCATAAAAACGTCATAGTATAGTAAGGCATAAAAACGTCATAGTATAGTAAGGCATAAAAACGTCAAAAAACGTCATAGTATAGTAAGACATAAAAATGTCAAAAAACATCATAGTATAATAAGGCATTAAAACGTCAAAAAACATTGTAGTATAGCATGGCATAAAAACATCAAAAAACGTCATAGTATGGCAAGGCATGAAAACGTCAAAAAACGTCATAGTATAGTAAGACATAAAAATGTCAAAAAACATCATAGTATAGTAAGGCTTAAAAACGTCAAACGTCATAGTATAGTAAGACATAAAAATGTTTAAAAAAGTCATAGTATAGTAAGACATTTAACGTCAAAAAACATCATAGTATAGTAAGGCATGAAAACGTCAAAAAATGTCATAGTATAGCATGGCATAAAAACGTCAAAAAAACGTCATAGTATAGTAAGACATAAAAACGTTATAGTATAGCAAGGCATGAAAACATCAAAAAACGTCAGAGTATAGTAAGACATAAAAACGTCAAAAAACATCATAGTATAGTAAGGCATTAAAACGTCAAAAAACGTCATAGTGTATAGTAAGACATAAAAACATCAAAAAACATCATAGTATAGTAAGGCATTAAAACGTCAAAAAACGTCATAGTGTATAGTAAGACATAAAAACATCAAAAAACATCATAGTATAGTAAGGCATTAAAACGTCAAAAAACGTTGTATAGTAAGACATAAAAACGTTATATTATAGCAAGGCATGAAAACGTCAAAAAACGTCATAGTATAGTAAGACATAAAAACGTCAAAAAACGTCATAGTATAGTAAGGCATAAAAACGTCAAAAAACGTCATAGTATAGTAAGGCATTTAACGTCAAAAAACATCATAGTTTAGTGACGCATAAAAACGTCAAAAAATGTCATAGTATAGTAAAACATAAAAATGTCAAAAAACATCATAGTATAGTAAGGCTTAAAAACGTCAAAAAACGTCATAGTATAGTAAGACATAAAAATGTTTAAAAAAGTCATAGTATAGTAAGACATTTAACGTCAAAAAACATCATAGTATAGTAAGGCATGAAAACGTCAAAAAACGTCATAGTATAGCATGGCATAAAAACGTCAAAAAAACGTCATAGTATAGTAAGACATAAAAACGTTATAGTATAGCAAGGCATGAAAACATCAAAAAACGTCATAGTGTATAGTAAGACATAAAAACGTCAAAAAACATCATAGTATAGTAAGGCATTAAAACGTCAAAAAACGTCATAGTATAGCAAGGTATAAAAACGTCAAAAAACGTCATAGTATAGCAAGGCATTTAACGCCAAAAAACGTCATAGTATAGCATAGCATAAAAACGTCAAAAAACGTCATAGTATAGTAAGACACGAAAACGTCAAAAAACGTCATAGTGTAATAAGACATTAATACGTCAAAAAACATCATAGTATAGTAAGACACAAAAACGTAATAGTATAGTAACCTCAAAAAACGTCATAGTATAGCAAGGCATGAAAACGTCAAAAAACGTCATAGTATAGTAAGGCATAAAAACGTAAAAAACACGTCATAGTATAGTAAGGCACGAAAACGTCAAAAAACGTCATAGTGTAATAAGACATAAATACGTCAAAAAACATCATAGTATAGTAAGACACAAAAACGTAATAGTATAGTAACGTCAAAACACGTCATAGTATAGCATGGCATAAAAACGTCAAAAAACGTCATAGTATAGCAAGGTATAAAAACATCAAAAAACGTCATTGTATAGCAAGGCATTTAACTTCAAAAAACGTCATAGTATAGCATAGCATGAAAACGGCAAAAAACGTCATAGTATAGCAAGGCATTTAACGTCAAAAAATGTCATAGTATAGCATAGCATAAAAACGTCAAAAAACGTCATAGTATAGTAAGACATAAAAACGTCATTGTATAGCAAGGCATTTAACTTCAAAAAACGTCATAGTATAGCAGAGCATAAAAACGTCAAAAAACGTCATAGTATAGTAAGACATAAAAACGTCATTGTATAGCAAGGCATTTAACTTCAAAAAACGTCATAGTATAGCAGAGCATAAAAACGTCAAAAAACGTCATAGTATAGTAAGACATAAAAACGTCATTGTATAGCAAGGCATTTAACTTCAAAAAACGTCATAGTATAGCAGAGCATAAAAACGTCAAAAAACGTCATAGTATAGTAAGACATAAAAACGTCATTGTATAGCAAGGCATTTAACTTCAAAAAACGTCATAGTATAGCAGAGCATAAAAACGTCAAAAAACGTCATAGTATAGTAAGACATAAAAACGTCATTGTATAGCAAGGCATTTAACTTCAAAAAACGTCATAGTATAGCAGAGCATAAAAACGTCAAAAAACGTCATAGTATAGTAAGACATAAAAACGTCATTGTATAGCAAGGCATTTAACTTCAAAAAACGTCATAGTATAGCAGAGCATAAAAACGTCAAAAAACGTCATAGTATAGTAAGACATAAAAACGTCATTGTATAGCAAGGCATTTAACTTCAAAAAACGTCATAGTATAGCAGAGCATAAAAACGTCAAAAAACGTCATAGTATAGTAAGACATAAAAACGTCATTGTATAGCAAGGCATTTAACTTCAAAAAACGTCATAGTATAGCAGAGCATAAAAACGTCAAAAAACGTCATAGTATAGTAAGACATAAAAACGTCATTGTATAGCAAGGCATTTAACTTCAAAAAACGTCATAGTATAGCAGAGCATAAAAACGTCAAAAAACGTCATAGTATAGTAAGACATAAAAACGTCATTGTATAGCAAGGCATTTAACTTCAAAAAACGTCATAGTATAGCAGAGCATAAAAACGTCAAAAAACGTCATAGTATAGTAAGACATA